CATCGCCCACTAGGTGTGCGCCCAACGGCTGATGGCGTGAGTACTGCTATGAAACTTTGCAATCGAATCTTCTGGGCTTTTATCAGATGGAATTATTAGGAAGTGGTCGAAGGTGAGGCGCTGCAAATACCACTTGAACAACAACGCAAGTTGGAAGATATTGTAACCCAGTTGGAGAAAGACGCTGCCGATATCGAGCGAGCGAAAGAACTTTTATCAAAGGTATTTGTATACCAATCAGTTTAGTAAAGGGAATGGAGGGTGTTGTAATATTTCGTTTATGTCTCTGATAGTAACAGGGTAGTACATCTGCATTTTGTACTCGTTAATTACTTGAATAGGAGCTTGTAACTCTTGTGCCTAGTGCTGCGGTAATATTGTCTTAAATAGCAGATAATTTTGTATTTACCGTTCACACCCTCTGCTGAATTTTAATTAGCTCTCAGATAGATAAGGTCGAAATACAGCTATACTCTGTGTAGCCGTAGTATGTCTTGCAGGCCATTTTATGGCCGCTCATAATTATCACGTTGTTTCTGTAGTTCGTTTCTCGGCTGGTTGCATTGAAAAACAGTTGGGGGATTATTAAAGATAAGAAAATATTTTGCGCTGCATCTACGAACCCACCATCTTTAATGTATAAAATAAGCTACTGCCCCATTGTGCCAGACGCCTCTCATTTCATTGTAGTCTGGTGTAGTGAAGAAGTTTGTTTGGGCAGATATATATCTTTATTGCATTGAGCAGCTATAGCTAGAATGTGTGTAATACACTCATACTGACTTTCGGATTACTATATATTGATTTGTATTCAGATATACAATGTGGTACTGTGAGAGCTACCGTTTAGGAGAGTTACGCTCACAGTAGCATTTTATGAAGTGTTACTCTGTGTTATTCTAATATATTCTGTACATTACTTGAAAGTAGAGGTAACAGTGGCATTCGTTGATTATTAGAATGTGATATTCTAATATTGTATGATGTACTGCAATATTAATAATTAGGTACTAAAGGATACAGTGGCTCATTTTACATACATATCAAAACAGATACGTAGTACTGACTAAGAGCCTATAATATTTTACTGCAGATTATTATTGAAAATGAGCTTTAGAATCAGATAACTATTATTTAAATATTGCGTTTCTGATATCTGTATTGCCAGATATGATAGTTAATTAATTCATTGAATTAATCACCAGTGGGCAGTATAAGAATGCTCTCTTTTATCTCTCAGATATATGTTATATATCTGTCTAAATATATATCTGAATGTGCTGTTGGGTTAATGCTTTTTCATGTACACTACCATTGTACTATGCTGGTAAATGCAGTAGCAATGTGCGTTTAGGTGTTTCACGCCATGGGATAATACGTGTAGCGAACAAGATATAATATTGATATATATTGCTGCAATAATTTTTGTCTGCTTGTACATATAGACGATTACCAACAATTTTGTTAACGATTATGTAAGTGTTGTGTAGAACTATTAATTATTACTATAGCTTTCTTGAGAAGTATGCGTGGTTAGATACATAAAAATTGTCATGGTTCTATTTTGTTATGAAGTATGTAGTGTATGTAGTATGAATCATATAATTATTTTAAAGGTACTTTATTTATTAGGTGTGTATTAAAATATTCAGGGATCTTGTTAATGTAGGCAGCTATGGGTGGAGTTACAGTGTTCTGTAAGATACTCATACAGATTGTGAGGCAGACAAAATAGCTCGATATAACTGGTTTCCAGTGTGAAGTCACGGTTAATTAG